GGTTGTGGCGGCGGCGGGCTTTTCCCATTAGATCGAGCGAGAACGATTACAGTTGGCTGCATGTTTCCGGATAATTGTCAAATACGGAGATTTCGTTCCCCGTAAAAGGGGATTGCTCTGTTTACCATCGTTCCAGCCATTTGTTTCAACGTCCAAGAGCGAACGTCGAATTTCGAGAGTCGTTCCGGAACCTGAAGCCTACAACAACAGTTCTACCCGCTCCCTTTAATAAGGAACTCTATTAGGCGCCATTATAGAATCAGTTTCCTCCCTTTGCGACCCGTTTTTGCTGCCGTCGTCATGCCTCCCATCCTTTCCCTTCGCGACTCAACTTCGGGATTCCATGCAGCACGTGGCCCGGTTCTTTTACGCCGGGGTTTTTGAGGGAGAGCTCGCGCGCCATTTGCTCACATCGCGGCTGACATCTTTAACTTTCGAAGCGGGATCCTCTCTCCGCGATCCTCCACCGCTCGGCGCAATTTCTTTGACCTACAATGACTATCGGGACGAATAATTGCGAGCTCTACGATCGTTCGTAAACGTAGATACACGAACGGAAGGAGAGGGAAAGAGAGAGAGGAACGTTGGAGTGTGCAAAATGACCATGCGGAAGAGATTTACGGCTGGCGAGAACAACGGACAACAAAGTTGCCCCGCAAAAGAAGCTCGGCGCTCGAGTTAGCGCAGGATGTCTTCGATTCTCCAATCCGTTCCGTTCTTCTTCTTGCTTACATCTTGTTCCGTGAAGTTACGTAGTCCGTCCTTCGGGCAAAATTAGCCGTTCTTGCTCGGTTATCTTAATGAAGATACATCTTTTATGGGAATATTTCTAGGTTATAATTTATATCGGCGATTATGTCATCCCTCGCGTGTCTCTCGCGTTTAAATGATCGTCAACAAAGGGTATTCGAGTGATGTGTATAAATTATACGAAAATTCCCACACGTATTCCTCATTCGAAATCATTCAAATTGTGTTCTAAACATTTCTTATATCATTAAAAACAAAGGTGATATTTAGATATTCTTTTTGTACTGGGACACCCTTGTATATATTTAAGCGGTATTGCTTATATTGCTAAATAACTTTACCGTGAGCTAGTGTAAGATTTTTTTAGAGAGCTTTATTACCGGATATCCGCATGGTTAACGGTTAAATTAACGAGAAGGCTAATTGATATCTAAGCCAAAGGCTTCGAGCGCGTATAATTCTCTTGTGATGCTATCACGTTTTTATAGAATATTATTCCTCTCCTCGTTTTGCACAGGTTTTTATTGCAACTTCGTTACACGCATCCTCTCTCCCTCCGTCTCCCTTTACTGTGCTGTAAATTCTTGCATCTAATGAGCGTCTCTAATAAGCATCCTCGTGGTAATTAACGCATCCTTATATTCTCCATGGATCATGTACTTGCTTAACGATCCTTACGAGCGTCTACGTCATTCTCACTTCCGGAGCAATATCTTCTTCGCAACTTCGCTCTTTCTTCGTCGACCTACTTCGGGCTGCACGGAGTTAAGCGAATCTTTTAAATCAAGATTCCCGAGATCGAGTGCGTGGCTTACTCGCGTCGTAAATGACAGACTCGGTTCTCGCAATGGCACCGCGTCCTTTGAGCGCCCGACGACGATCTAAGATAGTCGCGAGCTACCGTTTCCCGCGAGAGGCACCAACGTAAAGATAGATTGATAGAGAGAAGAAGAATATTTATTATATTGTAGGATAAAAGGGAACCTTTGTGAAGGTATTCGATGCAAACGCAAAGAACGTAGCGATATAAATTTTTATATTTCAAGCGGTTAAAAAGCAAGCTGAAAACTATCGGAGGATAATAAAATAAGATATCTTATATTCGAAGTTATTAAAATTGAATTCGAAGTTATTAAAAGAATTTGAAAACCTTGAATTTATTTTTCAAACTCGGGATAAAGATTAAAATCAAAATAAAAGTTCTTTATTTAATGCGGAGAATTGCAATATTCAACATTCCTGAGGATGAAACGCGCGTAAAGATCGCGAAACTGTCAAGATAAAATGCGAAATATCAGAACTTTGCGAATTAATTATGAACTTCGTATACGAAGCGGATATAGCGGAGAGCGACAGTGTGAGAGACGTATTTATTATTAGTCCCGTGCTCTCTCGAAACCGAAGAAAAAGGTCTCGCCGCATCAAGGGAGCTTGTTTAAATTTCAACGAAGAAGTGGGGATATAATATTATTTTTAGAGACTCCGCGGTTTCTCTTTGCCGTTGAGACTGATTCGATTTTGGAGCATCCTGCATGTAATGTGTGACGCACCTGAGGAGAAGCCACACCGCAGAAGGGTTGAAGCGAAGGGAGACGAGGATAAATGAGAAACAGAGCGAGAGAGAGAGAGAGAGAGAGAGAGAGAGACAAGGGTTAACGTAGTCAAAGGGCGTCTCCGGAATCGATCGAGGGTGAATCGCGTGATTCCCACCTCGCTTCTCTTCCAGCGCGATGCCCATTTCCTTCCAATCGACCTTCCATCTCGGCCCGAGGAATCTTTCGATCTGTCGAATCTGGGTCGCCATTTCGTCGTATCTATCCCCGCCGTTCCCTCGATTCAAGGCAAGAACCATTGGCGCCCGATTGTCTCAGTCGCCTCGGCTGAAACAAGCGTAGGTACGCTCCGACAATTGTATGCGGTGGAGTTAACGGACACCGGGTTCTTCGTCGTGGCGACGGAAGAGAAAGAAAGAGAGAGAGAGAGAGAGAGAGAACTGTAGAGAAGCGTGAGCCAGGCGAGAGAGAGAGAAGAAGAGAGGGAGAGAGAGGGGTATTGGGACACGACGTGCGGCTCGGCGATTATCGAAGAACGTGAATGGGTAACACGTGAGCGGCTTGCAAATCGGCGCGACGTCGCCCGATTGCGAGATTTCTGCGTGTGCGCGGACGATTTTTTTCCTTCGCGCCGAGACGTGTCCGGAGTGGCGAAGTGCGCTCTTAATCTGTATCTCCGGTATGTTAATGGCGGCAGATTCCGCCGGCGGGAGGATCGATAACGATCGCGGATATGACGAATGCGAATCTTCATTCGCGCCACACGTATGCGATAACCTTCGGGATAACGTTCCGCGATGTGACGCTGGACGGATTGCTATCGCGAATGCGTCGATTATTTGAACAGTCTCGCGAATACGAGCCATCTATGGCTGTACTTTCCTGTCATTTTCCCGACGAGAGAGCGCGCTCGGCAATTTCGAATTTTTTGAGATTCCTCTTAACTCTGCATACGTCGAGTTGGCATTTGAGAGACGCGTCGTTCAATTTTCCACGCGCGGACTGATGGAACCTGGTGGGATTTTGACATGCGAAAATAAAGATTTCGTACATCGCAGATTTCAGTTTGATTATTCACGATAAATACGATTATTCGTAGAAATACGACTCTTTTTTTTCTTTGCATATTTTATGCTTCATCCGGTGATTGTGTGACGGAGGAAGAAACGGAAAGCGGAGATCAACCGCCACTGGGAGACACGAACGACGGGGAGGTGTCAACATGGGCGGGAAAATTGTCCTGATTACAAACCCGTAAATCCGGATGGCGGTGACCGTACCTACTTATTTTCACTCGTACCACCCGAGGGGTAAATGGGTGACATTTTTTCGAAATGAATCGGTTAACGAGCACGAGCGTATGGCCGATACCCTCCCAATCAAGGCGCGATTGTCCCGAAATGTGTAAGTGGCTCGTGTAAAAGCGACCCCAAGTTTGGCGCGGTCGGACACGTGTACGCTTCGCGGCCAACCGCGACAAGCGGACAGAGGGAGGACGGCGTCGCTTGTATTCGGTATATCGCGCGGCCACCCTCGATAGTCGCCTTTCTTCTCGGGGATGAATCGTGTATGCCCGCAGCGCGGCCGCAGATCATTGGCTCGCGCCGAACGGAATTGATCCCACACGCTGGGACTTAGGGCTGCCGAAAGACTCGGACCACCCTGGATGACCGGAAAGAAATGGTAGCCTCGGGTTTTAATCGTAGATAAACGACTCGCTCGTGGGAACTATTTTACAAACGATCTATGAAGTGGTATATAGCGCTCGAGATGAAGAGAGAAAGCGCCTTATGTCTCGTTAATTATTAGACACGTAGGGGAGGCCGGTACAAGTTGGCTAAAGGGGTAAATTTGCTACTCAATTATTTCTGACAGATCGCAGTATCGAGCGGGCAGAGATTTCAAACGTCTCAAGTTGAAATTTTGATCCTACGTTAAGCCTACTTAGTTCTACGTTAAGCCTTCAAGTGGAGAAAACGGAAATAACTGTCTATTTGTGGCATCAAAGGAGCACTATTAGTGCTTTTTTTAATACTATAAAGGAAATTTAGGTCTCCCTTAGGAGAGAAATTTAAAATTCTACATTAAGTCTTCAAGTGGAGAAAACGGAAATAACTTTCTATTTGTAGCATCAAAAAAGCACAATAGAAGACCTTTGGAGACTTAACGTAGAACTAAAATTTGGGCCCGGGATGTCAAAGATGATTGTGAAACCCTTATACAGGAAAAAATTAGTCTTAAATCAAGAATAGATATTCTCAGAATATTATAATTTTCTTAGAAGATTTTTAGCTTTGATTTGATTGAATTTAAGAAATGGAACGTCGATTGTTGCTCATAGAATCTAGACAAGCGACAGAAATCGAGATGTATTTTTCTTATATTTTCCGAACGTTTCCAAAAATGGATCGCGATGTTTCGTCTTGTGCAATTTTCGATCTCAAGTTTTACGAGAGGTTTGATTAAAAGGTGCAGCCGAGCGCGCAATCTTGGGTAGAACTGCCCTCCTGCCCGCCCCCCATAGCCCGTTTATTCGCGTCGTACAGGGTGCCTCCTTTCTGGAAACAGCGATTTTTACGGCGACCTGGGTATAAAGGCGCGGTTCTTTGTAGTCCCGTTTCTCTATCGATATTTTTCGACAGCAAGAAGCGAAAAGAAGACACACGTCTTGACTTCGGGCCGTCCTTTGTGTTTCAGAACGACACGATGCAAGTAGTTTGGCAATATCACGTCGAGGAGCCGGTATCAGCGGCCGGGATCTTGCCCGATCACGGCGCGGTACGAGGAACTAGACCATTGTATCTGGTTCAGAGGGACGCACAACCAAAGCGCAACCTGCGTAATCCGGAAACGGAGAAGCCGCTGAAAATTTGGGATATCCTGAACAAGCAGGTGAGTAATTGATCTTACATTAATTACGCTTCGCTCTCGTCCGTGACAACTTGTCTCGTTTCGTAAGTTTCGCGACGAAGCATAAGTCGGTGTAAATGAACCGCTATTAAAAGGATCGATTCTTCCCTGTTAGCTCAACGTTGTAATAACGCGCTCATTTAATCTCTACTGATTACCGTGCAAAGTTATCGTCGAGAAAATTTATAGACTACTTGTTCTGACAAAAATTATACATCGAGGAGGAAGTTTGGACTTCGTTAAACTTCAAAATCTCGACACAGTCACTACGTTTCTACATAGTATAAAAAAAAAAAAGCGCACTCCACGAGATAAGCATTCACGTGAAATGCAGCAAATGAGTTAGATTCTGCCGGTGCAAATACTTAACGAACGAGTTTAACTAGTTGAAGAGGAAAATATTTCGTTTCGTTCTCGATGTAATTAAAGGAGAGAGGAATAGAGAGAAGAAAGAGGGAGAATAGGGTGGGTGGGAGGAGCAGTTGGTGCACATTGCATTTATTACGATTCGCGTTATTACGACGGCACGTGACAAGAAACAAGAACAAAGTTAATATTCATCTCGACCGCGGAGAAATTCGCGAGCGCGAACAAAGACGATTAAAGAGTTTTAATTAGAGTTCACGAAAGTGGATCTGGCCGCTAGTGCCATCGGCGTTATGATATTGGACTCGATTTGCGCGGGGGGTGTGCGATTCGGATTTGCGAGCCGGGTTTCGTGGAAGTATTTAAGGAAATCGAAGTTACTCTATTCGAGTCTCGCTCGGAAGAATCATCGTCGACGCTACAGTTTACCGGCGCTAATTTTAATTCGCGAATACGCGTGACTCGTTTACCGGCGCTAATTTTAATTCGCGACGTAGATTCCTATAAAAAGATTGCTGTCGGATAATCGAGTATTATTTCACGTAATTCGAATTATTTTTTATTGCATACATTTATGGGATTTTGCCTACGCGCGCGCTACACTTGTCCAGTCTAGGAAATATTTTCGAAATTGAAAAACTAGAAACCATTGTGATTCTTACTCCTTCCTATTAACTCAGTTAATCTAATAGATCATTCAACTACTTCTATTTAAATGATGAACGACGAAATGTATGCCGTATAAAATAAATACGTATCCATCAGAAATTACTTTGTAAATATAAATAATTTCGCAACTACAGTGAAAAAAGAAGAAAAAGAGAAAAATTACCGAAATATCGTTAAACCGAAGTTTTCTTTGTACAAAGATCGCTCGATTGGGAATTAACTCGCGTCGCCGTTTCGGGGTTAAGCATCAATGCAGAGATGAAAGAGAGAAAGAGAGAGAGAGGGAGAGAGAGAGTCACAGGAACAAAACTGGCTCGCGCGCGATATCGGCATTTTCGATATCGGCAGAAACGCGGCAGATTATTCGTTTATCCGGATCCGAGACGCGAACGAGCTTTTTCCTTTTTTTGTCCCCGTCGAAACGCTCTGTCTTTCTCGTCGTACGGCTTTGTCATCGTCACGCGTAGCGCGCGCTCGGTCGCGTGTGCGTGCGTCGCGCGCGTGAGATGAATGTACGAACGCGTTTAGCGTGTTCCGCCGCGTGCGCGAGCTACTGGATTTTTATCGGACGCGCGAACGGAGCCGAGAGAGCGAGAGAGAGAAAGAGAGAGAGAGAGAAAGAGGGGCGGGGGGAGGGAGACGAGCGCGCGAGAGAAAGAGCATTGTGCGCCCCGAATTTATGACGGCATAAATCTTAACCGGGTCACATCCGGCAAAAACTATTCGTTCATTAGCGTCGCCGGGTCGTAGATTACGAGGTCGGCGCTATCGCCGAGAATCGGACAATGCTAATTCCACCGTCTGCCCCGGCGTGCTGTTTATAGTTTATATCGGGGCCCGGAATCGGGCCGCGCATTCCGCCGGTTGACCCGCGAAAAAGTGCAAGATCACTCGCTGAATGCGCCCTGATAAACGACCCGGAAATGTCGGCCAATGTAATATCGCGCGGGACAAGCGAGCGCTTCACACGGAATCGCACTCGCACGGCGGGATATTCTCAGTTTGCCGAGTTGCATCCCGTTCTTAACGGAATCCTTGCGGCCGCTCGCGTCGCAAAGAAATGTTGTTACGACTGTGCCGTAGAACTCGAGACGCGGGTTCTGTTCTTTTTAACTGCACTTTGTGTGTGTGTGTGTGTACGTGCGCGCGCGCTACGCGTTCGCTCTTCCTTCCTTCCTTCCTTCCTTCCTTCCTTCCGTCTTCAAAGCGATAGCGACGCATACACACGCACGCTTGTTTTATCTTAAAGCGCACCCGGACGCTGTAAAGAGATGCAACGGAGGAAAACTGGTCCGCTTCGCGGCACGTAAGGAGATTGCTCTCTCGGTGTCCCGGATATATTTATATAACATATCGAAGTATCACGAACACCCGGAGAGACGTGTGACAAATATTTTCTAAGGAGAACACTACAGATGAATATGATAGATGAAGCTATAATAAAACGGAAATATTCATCTTGCTACGTATGCTCGAGGGGGAAGCTGTCAAAATTCAATGGAAATCATCGATCCATCCGCCTCTTCTTCCTCCCCTCACCTAGCATCGATGTCGAGATACTGAGACACCTGAAAAAAGAAAAGCACCCGTATCTTTTCCAGTATCACAGAATATCGACGACCATCGCTTCATATTTCCGTATTTCGACCTATTCCCCTTTTTCGCGCGCGGGTATCGCGAGAAAGTTTCCCCTTAACTCGGCGCGCCGAAGTTGCCGAGCGGTCGAATAACTTTTGTATCGACGAATATGAATAGAATAGGCACAAAGAAGAAGCCGAGACTAGTTAGGAGAACGGGTTTACATCGCCTCTGTCTTTCACGCCGCATCGTATTCTCGCGTCTGGAAACTACCACCGCTTCGTTAATTTTTACATTCTCATTATTATTATTATTATTATTATTATTATTATTATATATACCTATATATGCTCGGTTGTAATTCGTCAAAAGTTTTTCGTTCGGTCATGATTTTACTAACTTTTATTTTGTAACAGTAGAGGAGTAGGTGGTGTTATGGTCTCCCATTTACATTTTCTATAATAACTTTGTTAATAATCAATATTTTAAATCGAAAACTTAACGATTACGTTTATCAAAATGTTGTTCAATCGATTCTAGATTGAAAGTTATAAAATATTTATTATTTAGAACGTTATTTTTATAAAAGTGCTGTGACATTGTACAGTGGGTCGAGAAAGAACAGGATTGGTAACGTAATTCCCTCTTAAATTAGATTTAAAAAATTGTTATTTTTTAATGAAAAACAGTGTTTTGTTACAAACTTATATATTAACTCAAAATAAACTCTCTTAAAAGGCATAACAATGAATATAACCGTGAAATTATACCTACAAGGGCGATTGTTTGTTGCTCCTACAGGATTTTTTATCCTGCAGCATAATAAAATAAACTCTGTTCTATAATTTTGAGTTTTTCCACAACTTAGTTTTACCATTAAATAGTTCTTCTACAATTTTGAGTAATTTTTCCGAGCCCCGTCGAATTGAAATTCCGGCGTCGCCGGAATAGCGCGAGCACCGCGATTAATTGATCACCGCAGACGACAGTTATCGCTGGCTTCGCCGCGGGGCGAGTCCGCAGGGGTCGTTTCACCATGACTTTTCTCTCACTCGGTGAGAAGCGACCGTCTCGGAACGACGACGAAGGGGCAGCGATTGCCGCGGGTGCAGAAATCGGAAATGCGTTCACGGCGTCCCTTAAAAATCACCGTCCGTCGCCCGCGGCCGTCAGCGTGGCCGACCGCAAAACAATAAACGCGCTCTCGTCCTTCCCGGTAATCTCGACATCGATAATTTCGTATAAGCGCGTGGGAGAATCCGCCGGCATGGTTCGAGCGCTCACGGCCAGAAGTCGCCGGGGCCGATGCGCGAAAAAGAGAATCGTAATTTTCTCGGCTACACGGTCGCGCCCCGCGGCGGCCCGCTCGGAACGACCCACCGGCACCCCTCCTTTCTCCTCCTACCTACCTACCCGGTTCTTCGTATTTACCGAGGTACAACGCAACAACGGAGCGTAGCGTGGCTCCATTGATGCACGAAAGCCCGTGTTCCCCGCGTAATTCGTCGGACTACGAATCTGACTTGTAGATACTCGTGGGACAAGTGGCACGACCACGGCCGCGACATGCAACACTTGTCCCGTCGTGAAGTGAAGGACGTGTAACACACAGAGGCGAGCAAATCGGATGGGAGGAAAAGATCGATTCGTAATGGCGCAACATAGTACGGCTCCTGTTTCTTCCACCGAGCTGTTTTCCGCGATCCTCTCGCGCGGAGTGTCCGCGTACTCTTGACGCGCTTATCTCGACGGAAAAGTTCGCCGGATACGAGAGCGCGGGGACCGAAGTGTCCGTAATTAACGTTTAACGCTCCAACAATTATACATTTTACCGTGTATCTCGGGACACGTGGGCGCACAATGCAGCCGGATTACACGGCTGGCCGGGAGCCGCGATATCGCGAAGGGCTATTTCGGGATTGAACGAAGCGAGTTCGCGTACGAACGAACGACGGACGTACTTCGACTTACGTATCGAGCGAAACACGTGGAACAAGCGAGCGGGCAATTAAACACCGCTGTATGCGGTTCTTATTCTGTTATTCGTGCCGAAAAACTCAGATTTCGTGCAGCCGGTCGTGCATAGCAGTTGTGTGCTTGTGTGTGGCAGGGAGGGGGAGGGCGAACTGTGTGTAAAATAGTCGCGTGGCGCGAGGTGGAAAGTGCTGCTTTGAGACAGAGCGAAATGGGCTCGTATATCACAAAAGCAACTCGCAACCTTGTTACGTAAGTCGCACGCGGCGTCGGAAAATATGGTAATGAATTTCTCGTATATATTTGCGTTTAACTGCTCTTACCCCGCTGCAACAAACCATTAACGCGGCGTATGCATTAAGTAACCGAGTTCCCCGAATTTTCCACTCTGCTTCCCGCCACTCGTCCCGGCAAAGGGACTCCTACGTATGAAGTGGCAATTATTTTTTGAGATACCGCGCAATGCGCCTGTCCTCGATACAAGAGAGAGGGAGGGAGGGAGAGAGAGAGAGAGAGAGAGTGCTCCGACGACACCACGTGCTGTCAACGCGGTAAAAATATCTAGATGTACTTTTTACTAGGGTTGATATCGCATCGACAGGTCGGCTGTCGTGCTTCGAGAATTTTCATAAGCACCTCTCACTTTTCAAGCGTCGATATCGGTATTTAAAGATATCCGATCAATAAACGAGAGCATAACTATATTATGTAGGGCATGTGCGTACGATATTTTTACGCTTTACGTGTAATCGTTCCTTTCTATCCGTATCATTTGCGTCGATTTTCCTGTTCTTTTTTACACTCGCTCTACATATACGGCGCTTATAATTTCGCGTATCTCAATCTTACGTATCTTCCCGGCCCGACCGGGGCGAGAATTCGCAGCGGGAAGTGCATATACTAGCGCCGTCGATAGGAAGTATCGATACTTCGTACCGACGTAGCGGTAAACTCCATCCGTTAGTTTCGCATGGAATTATACTCATGGCTTAACGAAGTACCATTCGAATTGCTGCGCAGGTTCGTTTACCCATGGGGCAAGACACGCTGCTCTGGTGCCGTGTCCTGAAGATGCCGAGCATTGATCGCAAACACCACGTCGTGAAGGTGAGTTCCTCCAGGTATATAATCCGTTTACGGTAGCTCGCTCGCTCGCGCGCGCGTCTGCCTGCCTGCCCGCCCGCCGCTCTTCGACTTGATTAAAGCGAAGGTGGATGCTCTTGTAATGCCGAAGAAACTGCACGTCGAGTTTGCCGGCTCCTCCTCCTCCCCCCCATCCCCTTTCCGCCCCTTTTCCCGCACGAGGGAGATACTCTTCTGTCTCGCGTGTTTTCGCATCTGCAGACGCAGCCGTCCTCCAGGTAGCTATCCGATAAGTGTGCCGCGCGAAATGATAATCTGGAGATTACGATGTTCCGCAGCGGATAATCAACCGTCGACGGTTCTATTAAGAATGTTTCGGAGGGAAGAGCCCTTTCGATTCGCAGCTTCGCACCTTTCAGCGGACGGTCGTGTTACGTTTCAATAATGGACAAGATCGTTTTAAGGATCAACACAGCTATAAGTAGCTTCGTTTTCTTTCTTTTTTTTTTTTTTAATACGATTAGACCAACACAGATGCGCGCGTTATTTGGCTTTAATATTGTACGGAAAGAAATCTCAGTTTGTGTAATTAAATAAGCACCAGGCTAGAATTCGTTGATGAGAAAATGATATTTCTGTTACTGTCAAAACATATAATCTACGTGATGACAGTCACGATATATACAGGATATTATATATATATATATTCGGCCTGCTACATTTGAAATTTAACATCCCGTATAAATTGGGCCATTCTGAGTAAAAAAGTCCTGAATAAAAAAAGTCCATTTTGCAAACTATGCAAAATTTTTAGGTTATTAATTATTGAAAGTGACCATATATAGAGGCTTTTTTTAAAAATAATAACTCAAAAATTTAAATTAAAAACTCAAAAAAAAGACGTGGTTCATATTTATCAGTTGCTGTAGGAATCTTAATCTTTCTACGCTGAATAAATCAAAATTATCTCATAAATATTAAGTAAAACGCTAATAAAATATAACAGACTAAATTAATATTGATGCATTCGAGATTTTGATAATATACCATCCTTTAAAATGGGTTAATATTTTCAGCTGATGTACAGCACAAATCGAGATCGTTTGAAATGTTGCTATTGCATTACTACTACAATTCCAATTGCTTACAACAGACATTGAACGCGCATCAAGGAGTAATCGTCTTGAATTATCCGTTCGATCACGAGATATTCCTTTGATTCGCGTGTCCGGCTCGACCGATTAATTCGGCTGCGAAATTACATCGCAAATATGTGACTGGGCGGATCCACAGGGCGGCGGGATCGGAGCGATGCGGTAGGCGAGATCGTTCCGTCGTTCCGGCCGCCGGTTTCACTACCAACGATGACAGATCGATGCGCGAGATGTCGTCGATAAATGCGACAGTGACGAAGCAGCCGGTCGTAAAGCCCCCGTATTACTGCCGCGCACCGATTCACGGCACGGTAATAAGTTCCATTCCGATGCGCGCGATTCTCCAAATTGCGTGTTAAAAATCAAAGTCAGACAGGTAGTAAACCGCAGAGCAGACAGTAAAACGTGTTTGCCGACATTCGCTCGTGCGGATTCGACGTGACACAGAATATTTTATTGCTGATAGTCTCGGACGTATTTCACGTTATGTTAATGTTTCACGATCTACAATGCCTCGTCGTGCCGGAAGCCGAAAACTAACGCGAATGGAACATCGTCATGATTGCCGGCTTTATTGCATCTCTATGTGTCATCAAAGGTTTCAACTTATTTATGATTTAATATTAAATCGACGTATTTAGTACGCATATCGTACACGCAAACGGGTGAGAACCGATACGATACGACGCGCATTTCCGCCGAAAGGAGGGATTCGCGTCGGATTGAAAAAAAAGAAAAAAAATAAAGGTTTCGCGATTTCGCGACTCGGAAGTCGCCGCAATCCTTGGATCCGTTGATATAGAAAAATTGCGCGAACGATACCTCTGTTCGTCGCACACTTCGGAGTTTACACGCTCGTTCGCTTTCGCCGGACTCCCGCCGGACTTGGACGGGAATTTTACGTTCGCGAATAATTTAGCCGGGGCGGGGGGGAGGGGGGACACGTTTCCAGGTAATTCGCGTTTTACGCCTCGGGTTACGCTCCACTCGCGAGACAGATGATAACTCAATAAAATCTCGCCTGGCCGTATCCCGTCCGAATTTCGCGCGATTGTTATTCAGCGCGAGGCGATGCCCGACAGCTGCTGGAACGGCCGAGCGAGTGACTAATGGTCATAGCCGGCGCGCCAGCTTCTTCATGAGTAGCGCGTTCCCTCCTCATCTCATCTCTACGTCCCACAATTTTGATTTTGTACCTCGGAATGCGCCCGCTTCCCTTCTCCCCGCCCTTCTTCCATTCGAAACTTTTATGTTACTCTATTGCGCCTTTATTCATCCTGTACTTCATATCGTATTATTTCTATTATTTTTCTTATCCCATCCTTGTACTTTACATTCTTACTTCACCGTCCGGTCAGTTTCTTCGCGAGTAGCGCGTTCTTTTCTCACTTTACTTCTGTGTTCCGACGTTTGTTTGATTTAGCATCTTTGGAGCGGCATTCCAAATTTCTATCATACTCCATATTAATCCGGCGCCTTATATTATCTTATCATTCCTTATTTCGTGTATCTCACATTTCTACTTCACCGTGCTTCGACTCTGATATTCATATTCCGGCGAACTCGCGAATAGATTGCACGCAGTTGGCTGATATAGTCCGCTCTATCCAGCGCTGGACCGACCAACCGACCGACACCTGAATCCCGAACTCGAATCGGACGTGACCCAACTACGCGATGCGATTGCACTGTGTGTTCCCATCCGGCGCAGGCCGGGTGGTGAGGAGTGAGACGATTAGCGTTCCGATTGCGATAACTCAAGTGCTTAAAACGCACGGACCCCTCTCATGTTTTACGGAACCTCCACTGACGGAGCGGCGAGGAATTCCGAGGTTAACGGTCGAGCGAACGGCCGTTAAGCGGGATATCGGCGGGAACTTTAATTTGTTGTTCCCACCGAGAATGAATTGAAAGAACAGCGCGCGTTGTCCCGACAGAGAGAGGGAGAGCACGAGGGTTACCGCGCGCGCTACGTTTGCGCGCCGAAGCCCGCGCTCTTTTCCAATTTTGCGCTCCAACAGCTTCCTTTAAACTGATAGAAACGACGCCTGCCGGGAAGTGTTCCCGCTTCCTGTCGATATTCTCGGCTGTCGACGGTTAGTAATTCGGCCGGTTCGCGAATATTTGCTTTGCTTTAATTCGAATCAGTCGCCGTATGAGGAGAGCCTCTGCAATTAAATCGGTTCATTGTGAACGCAAACTCATCTTACATTTTAAAGAAACGGAGAAGGCGATATTACGGCTCTCGCGAGTATTATAGCCCGTTTTAATATCTTCACTATTAGGTGGTGAATTCTAGTAACTGCTTATAGAATTATTTCTTCGAGCTTCTGTTTGTAACGCATTTCTACTTTTGAGCATCTCGATTTTTCCAAGGTACATTCTAGCATTTAGTTACACATACTTCCTCATCCTTCTTAAATTTGAGCGTATTGAACGGCGCTTTAACGAACGTAATAGTTCGGTTCTCAATTTCAAACATCGATTATTGATAAAGTTATTGTATAAAATGTAAAAGAAGGGCCGGGATACCACCTTTTCCCCTATGTTTTGCTTCATTAACGAAACTTTTTTACACGAGCGACCGATTAGATTATTTTTAACCACAGCGCGACCTTCGACTTTTCCGATCGATTCGGTTGATTCCACCGTCACGATAAGAACATCGGAGCGCATAGTTCCACAGTTATGCACACACGACAAAGACACCCGAAATGCACTCGACATCGATCCTTGTTACGAGCTTGTTCTGTACGCCTGTTCTGTATTTCAGTACGAACCAGTTATTCAGCCGGGAAGCCACCAATACCTGCATCACATGACCCTGTATGAGTGCCGCGGAAATCAAACCCAATTGGAGGCCGCGTCCCAAACGACCGGGGATGTCTGTAACGCTCCTGATAAACCCGCATTCCAGTGCAACACGATCGCGGCCACTTGGAGTCTCGGTTCGGAGGTACGTCGAAAACTTCGCTCAAGCTTCAGCTCACGACCGAACTTCGACGCGACTATCGAAGTTTTGCATACGGTCATTTTTTTCGAGAGTTACGAGACACGCGTTCCGCCGATCCCGAAAAGTACACGGAGAAAATATCGTGGTAAAAATTATCACAGAATTTTATAATGCCGAACCATAACCGGAATTATAACTGAAATAATCATGTGCGTTGTAATTTTTAGTGGTGTATTTCGTTGCATACATCGCTAAAGATTACAACACACCGAATAATTTCAATCATAATTCCGGCGTGGCTCAGCATTACAAAATTTCACTGCAGTATTTCCTCCATGTACAGAAGAGGCCAATCACGGGAATCATAAACTTGAAGATTCGTACGTCGCCATTAATTACGAGCTCTAGTATCGTTAATTAAGATTCTTTTACCGTCTGATTCGATCGGTAATGGAGTTACTCAGTTGTCGCGTCGAACTTTTCGAGTCTATCTTTAAGCTGTTAAGAAGTGAAATGGTATAAATTCTCAGCAGGGAGAAAGCAAAATAATCTTTGCGATGTTATTTTGATGCAATAGTTGTTCAAAGTAGTTTACGTTAATTCTCTTGCAAAGTCTGTTGAAAATTCCCTGGAGAATATACGAGAAGTGGTGTGCACGAGTGAAATATCTTAGAATTCGGGTTACGCTCGCATTCGCGATACCGATTACTCGATAAGTCCGTCGTCTTTCAATATGTAAGCTCGACTGTTTCGTCGACAAGAGTTACGCGCGATCGTGGAAGACACGTTCGGAGTTTCCTGATAATTCCGAGTCCGATGTAATGCATACCAATGATGAGAACAGGAATGCCGCAAACTTGTTTCTTCGTGGTTATCGGTAATGCGAACATCCGACGAAGTTGCGATCGATCGTGAAAGACACACTCCGATGTGTCATGGATGATTTTCACATTTTCTTCTTAATATTGACTATAATATCAATATTGACTGTAATTGACTTAATATTGACTATAACATCAATAATAAACGTCAACCGCAATTGTGAGAACGAACGACGAAATATTTTTCATCGCATCCGATGATTCGTTCACCGAGCGCTCGTAATCTCATCTTTGCATTCACGTTCTCTACTCATATTTCTTTTAACCTATTAACTGCCAAATTTTTTTCTTTTTGAAATTTTTGGCCGGATAAGTTATATATATGCATAAAAAGTCGTGTAACAGTATAATTATATTCAAATTATATTTTGTTTTGATCCCCAAATGGGGATCGTGGCAGCTAATGGGTTAATATTGAATCAATTTCCCAGCGACATCCTATTTCGGACGATTATGCGACGGTGCTTAATTTCACACAATACACCGTCGTGCGCGACTATGAATCCCGATGTCAGGCGGAAAACACTGAAATATTAAGCGAAATGATCTCCACGGATAGGACGAGGCATCGCGGGAGAATAATTTTAGCAAAAAGAAGGAGGCGCTCGGCGGGGTTTCAGTTTTAGACTCGCGGGATAAAAAGAGAAACCGCGTTTAATGCAAAACTACGTTCGGTGCTCACGCCCGCGCTCGATCTAAATTACCGGCGCGATTGCGCCGGTAAATCGAGATCCGGGGCGCTTATTAAGACAGCGATCACCACCGGCGTGATTCCGCGAATCGGCCGGATCGTTATCTCGCCCTCGTCATCGGCGGTCCGAAAATGAAAATCGGCCGGCCGTAATTCGCGTGTGCGCGCGCACCACCAATAAGGAAACGAATTCCGTGAGCGACAATTTCCATCGGGCCTCGCTCGCTGATGGATGATCGAGGCGGTGTACACGCCGATTACAGCCGGGCGTCGCGTCGGGGGCAGGGAACGGATCGGACCTGACCGGGCACGGAGAGTGAGAGAGAGAGAGAGAGAGAGAAAGAGAGAGAGCGAGCTCTCCTCCGATCAGAACCGGACTGGCGGCGTGCTTGCTCGCTCGCTTGTTGCCGGTCTCCTGTTTTTATTTACCAGCAGCTTCTGCATAATCCATCGTTTCCTTCTCCCTTTCGCTGCACCAGGGCTTTAATTATCCGCCTGAGGCCGGATACCCGCTCAATCCGTCCAACGGACCTCACTACTACATGCTGGAGACGCACTACACGAACCCGCAGCTGGACGCCTTCATCAGCGACAGCAGCGGCCTGCGTCTCCTCTACACCGAGCAAGTGCGCGTCCATGACGCCGGCATACTCAGCGTCGGCATCGACCCGAACTGGCGGCACATCATACCGCCAGGCCAGCACGAGGTGGTCTCCGAGGGCCACTGCATCTCGGACTGCACCGGCCAGACGATACCGAACACCGGCATCAACATGTTCGCCGTGATCATGCACACCCACCAGCTCGGCAGGAAGGTGCGCCTACGGCAGATCCGAGCCGGCGAGGAGCTGCCGCCGATCGCCGCCGACGTCAACTACAATCCCAATTATCAGGAATATCGGAGGCTCCAGCGGCCGATCAAGGTGTATCCGGTGAGTACCGTATAAACGGCCTGTCCAAATACCAGCTAAGACAGATAGGCAGACATACATAGGAAGATATACAGGGAGAGAGAGAGAGAGAGAGAGAAGAGTTGATTTTTTCCTTGCCTTCTAAGGATTTATTAAATGATATTTAATGGTATTAAATCACAGTTGGAAGACCGAGATCTAATATTGCTAGCTGGTCTAAATTGTACTTTGTTAAGTATATACGAAGGGTCCTGATCTCAAGTACGGTGAATGGGAAGCGAAGCACAAGAGAGAAAGAGAGGAATGATATTCTCCGTTCTTCAACGTATCATACGATGCTTTTTCTCTATTTATTTCCATTGTGAACGCGTGGGTGTAATTATTCGAAGAGAAAAAGAACTGGACGGGCATTAGCCGAGCTCAAGAGAAGATCTCGTTTCTATCTTCGTATCAGAATCTAGGTTATCGGCGTCAAACTTTCATCTCTTCCGTACTGATCGCCTCCGACTAGACGTAATTATAAAATATCTCCGATTAACCGGAGGGAAAGAGAATCTTGTGAAGAGAGTCGGGGAAGAAATCTCCAACTCTACCCGTCGAGATTTTCCCTAAAGTAATCCGAGATATTATTCTTAGGCGCTTCACGAGTAACTTTTACGTTCTCTCTCTCTCTCTCTCTCTGTCTCTCTTCGTATATATATATATATATACATATATACACACACGCACACTCACTCGCGCATCCACACAATAACCGTTTAATATTCTTATTTTTCCGTTCTGTTTCCGCCACGTTGCACGCCTCTCGTTTATGCTGTCGTGAACGTAGCATAAACCGCATTATAACGCATAGCACGTATCAGAAAGTTTATGAGCTTGTTACAAAGTTTATTAACGTACAATAAGTATAGCTTTGATCACGTAAAGTGCAGACATGCTACGGATGCAGGGCATGAACCTGAGTTTAATTGTTTTCGAACCGGGAACACTTGAACACTATTACGTGTTAACGCGGAGAAAAATGTATTATAATAGTAACAAAACTGAATCGGCGATTTTGCCCGGCTCATAATAAAATAATCCCGCGTGATAAAATGAAAAGGTCTGTGATTAAGTATCGATTGTTACAATTACGTTCTTCCGAAAGATGTATGCACGAGTGAAATATGCGCGCATTTTAATAAATTTACTGCAAAATAATACGTGGTTAGAGAAAGAGATAGAGGGAGAGAAAGAGAAAGAGAGAGAGAGAGAGAGAGAGAGAAAAGGGGGATAGAAGGAGATGTAAGAAACAGCGCGGGTGTTGTTTCGTTTTATTACGGATTATATCGACCGCACAAAAGTCTTCGAACTTTTAAGATGCTTCGTTATAGCTCAGCAATGCTCACGTTCGGCGATCTTTTTATATCACAGGGTGATCACTTGGTTGCCGAATGCACGTACTCGTCCGAAACCCGGGGGGCCATCACGCTCGGCGGCTTGGGGACGAGAGAAGAAACTTGCCTGGTGTCTGCTCTCTATTATCCGCGCATTGAGTTGTCTCTCTGTTATTCTTTACCGTCGTTGCCGACCGTGCTGCACAGCTTGGGGATCCAGAAATTGAAGCAGTAAGTTCCAAAATGTTTAATCGTGAATTCGCTACCGTCAGCCGAAGGATCGTTACGCGATATGCGACGTTATCGATGCACGAGGAGTTTTCCGATTTTTCATCACGAACATCGTATCTTTTTTATGGATACTTAAGGATTAATAGTCGAGCGCTTCTCGTCAGAATATATCATCTCGGACGTGAATCTGTTTTGCGACAGCGGCCCATTCGTATTCCCGTCGTCTCTTAAAACTGTCGTTACGCTCGCGCGGTCGACGCGCCGTTTGCGCGGGCGGGCGAAACATTTGATGACGCATTAAGACGGCACGCAAGGCGTCGCACGTTGCCACCGGGAACGTTTATATGGCCCTATGCAAACGAAGATCGTCCGACGTTTGCTCTCTGATCGCTTTAAATTGGCTATTAGGGACAATCTGTACGTCACGAAAGCGCCGACCGTCGTTAACTCAACGAGCGACAGTCGCGTCGCAGGCGCGCTGCTCATTATGTAACACTTTATACGTCATAACTTTTTCAGCTTTATCAAACTTTCTTTGGTGATCCATCTTTCTCTTAACTCTCCGTTAGTCGCAATATCCAATAGATACAGACTACAACGTATCAAGATCGAACTCGTTCTTATCAATATTTTTCTTTGTTCTCTTCGTTCTCTACTGTTTTTTATATACTTTAGCGCCTGGTCTATTAGCCAAGTGCCAATGAAAGACAAACTGTTTTCAAGTAGCAGAGAAAAATAATGAGAACATTAATGTATCCATGAGATGCATCGCGATTATTCACGTGTGAAAAATATTGCGACTAATGGAGAATTAATACGTTCCGATAACTTTGGCGTATTTGATTCAACGGAAAAAAAAAAAAAGAAAAACGTCACATTTCTCTCGTTACAAGTATAGCATTTTATAAACTCGCCATCGCCATTAGAAGGTTACAATGAAATCTTTCACCGTGAGGGACAAAAGTAGCGTCATGATGACCGCGAAATAGACTGCAAACCGAGTGCAAAAATGGAAGACCGGTTTCGTGAAGTACACGCGAAAGAAAGATAACAAAACAATGGTAACTGGACGGAGCGCTTAAATTTGGAGCAGGGGTTCCAGCCCGGTGATGATCGAGGAGCCGAAGAAGCTGGCGGGCCTGACGCTGGAGGAACGTCTGCTGGGCTACGACTGGGTGACGAACTTCCAGAGTTTCCAGGAGGTCACCCGCAGCGGCACGTTCAAGCCGCTCTGCGGCAGCGGCAAGGGCGCCCTGCCCGGTACGGACAACCTCGAGGTGCACTACCCGCGCATCCTCAGGCCGTACGAGGAGGCGAGTGCGCCCTGCGCGAAGAAGCCGCTGCGAAACAAGCTGTCGATGCTGCTGAGCGAAGACGACGACATCGGCGCGCCGGTCGACCCCGACAGCGACGAGTCGAACGCGGTCGAGCGGGGTCAGCTGGTGCGCAGCAAGGTGTCCCGCAGCAGTGACGCCGGCCCGGCGCCCGGCAGCTCGTCCGGTCGCACGGTGTCGGCGGCGATGTTCCTCGCCGTCGCTACGATCATCATTGGCGCCGCGTTCAGGTGAACGTCGCCGCCGCGCGACCGGTCGACTTCACTCGGACTCAGGATCACCTCTGGCGGAGTTATCCGTCGCGATCGAACCCGCGGCGAACCGAGCGGCGCCAGCAGCAGCCCAGGCCGGGGCGTACGCGCGCACGTTCGCGTAAGTACATGCCAATCTCAGCAACGCGGAGGACTTAGGCTAGGCTAGGCATTATTGTCATCGTTCCACGAGCCGAGCGGCCGGGATTCGTCGACGGATTCGATCGGTGGTCTTTCCGGGACGGTTTCGTTTCGGTGGAAGCGCGCGCGCGCGCAACCCGCTGACCCGCTGGCGCGCTCTTCGCCGTGTCCTCGCGTCGCGACGCGTTATTCGTTAATGGGATTTGCCATGTCCGTCTTTTTTCACCGCTCGTTATCACGAGGACGTTGGAGTGACGACGGTGTCGGTGAGGAACCGTGGCAATTGAGACACGCGTGAAGACTGACAACGACGGGAGACGTTTATTTTCCGGTGAGCTCTCGCGGAAATCTCGCGAAAATTTCGCGGAGCTGACGTTCTGCACCGCGCGCTTCTCTTGAGATTCGCGATAATTCGAGGTTGGATACGCGTAATCGGTGAAATAAGCGTCTCACGTGTCGCCGAAGAGCTCGCCAGTCTTCGGCCGAAAATGCCGAACTTGTGCGAGTGGGGGACAAGGCAATTGCAATCGCCACTCGATCGGGAGGGTGTAGGTGAGATCTATATACATATACATATATCATAGAGGACGTAGTGGAAATTACCGGAATCCACGTTATCTCGACTTATAGATGTTGAAATAAAATTATGGTAATTTTACGGTGGCGTCTCGTCGGGATATATGAGAGGCGCATTTCTCTTATTCATCACGGTGCTCGGTTTCACCGGCAGGAAACGTTCATTCTCTCCTTTCCAGCGTAGCTTTACGGGTTGTGTATTGTGGACAGTGTCTAAATGAAGAATCGAACGGTATAAAGGTAACAATAACAAACGAACACGCTCACATCGTCGAATGTATATCTCAATTATTTCCGTCGAATTCGAGTCGTTTCTCCACGTAGAGCTGTCGCTTCTGTGATATTTGACGTCTTGATTTAAGAGACAGGCTGTAACTGCCGTATCGTTCTCTCATATATCGTGAAACGAACGATTCTATATATATACATATATATATATATATATATATGGCCGTAGCCGCTATTTTTACGGGAACATCCATGAGGCACCAAACGAATGTACAGAGAACACTTTTCCCGCGTCCATTTCGAGCAAGTTCACTCTCCGACTCACTTTGATTTCCGAGCCTCACGGAGAACTTTCCGGATGGTCCAGAAAACAGAGCCTTCAGTTTCCTCCTCTGTATGTAATTTAACTTCCGAACACGGCGATTTCGGGATGAGGCTCTATTGAAATATTCATCCCGGCGTTTGAAAATCATGCGGGAAAGAGAGAGGGGGGGGGAGGAAGAGAGAGATGCGGAGTGTGAGAGAGTTAATGACGCTGCGCTGAACGGAAGCGGATGTGGATGTGCAGCGCGTTAATTTCGCCAACGGTGAAACCGAGCGCGGAAGATCGTATCTATCGCGTCCTCGTTTCGCGATCGGCTTTCGCGACCTCCGCTCCCGCGCGCGCCATTGTCACGTAATAGAGAGGTGTTTGCGACACGGCGTGCTTCGAACGCGACAGACGCGCGCCAGTCCCGTGCTCGGCGCGAAATAGCGGCCATGCTGCGCGGCGCGAATCACGGCGCGATTCTCTCTCGTCCGCGATCTATATTATTGTTTAAACCCGGGACAGAGCTGCGTTTATCGTATTCGAGATACGCCATCGCGCGGAAAATCCGCGGTGACTCGCGCGGGCGAGATATCTCTCGGATACGAGCTCGTTGGCCGCGTTGCGCGTGCATTTCCGACGCGCCCGAGTCAAAAGTGCAAACTGCATCTCGACGGCGCTGGGACTGATATCGCCGCGGCTTTCTCCGCCCCGGTGTGCATCCCCGTTGTCCTCGATGCGTCAATCAATAATAAATCGGGAGATCAGAGAAATGACGGGGATCCGTAACAATAGCTTACAATGCGAACCTTTTCGATAAGGAGGGGTTAACGAAATTATTCGACGCGATACGCACATTGCGTGACTCGAGAAAGAGGCAGCGATTATCCGAACGAAGTGTTAATGTTGTTAAAGAGATATATTTATGTGACATTTTATCTTGATTAACTCACGATCGGTGAATATAAGTTATTCGTAGAATGCGATTGGCAAAAGTTATGCGAGAAGAATCCGGATTCATATGATGTTTCGAGGAAAATGAGGATGAAAATTTGATGCATGATTTGAAAAGTATAAATAGCACTGAGGTTCTTCATGATCGTTTAGAAAGTTAAGTGTGGTTTATCTTCTTCTCCCTAAATGTATTCATTGACAAGCTTGACTCTTGAAAGAACGAGTAAAAAATACACAACTGGTAGAAATAAAAACTGTTCTTTAATTAATTTTAGTCGGCCCGTAAGGCTTGAATTGTTCTGTTTTATATAGAAAGAAGTATAAACTATCCGTTAGCAGTAAATTCCCCCAAATTTTGTGGGTCGGATTCTTCTTGCATAACTATGACCAATTATTGATCCGTGCAATTCGATAACACATGGATTGATAAGGATCGAAATCGATCCGACTCCCGTGAGTAACGCGCGGTGAGATACGAACGTGACACTGGTGACTTCACCATTCATTTACAGTTTTAGTTAATTAGTTAATCCCGCGATATCACACTGCCCGATAAAGCTGCCACTCACTGTCGTCACCCAATGTGATTCATTCTACCGTCATCGATTCTGCGACGGTTATCTCCGCGCTATATCACGAATCGAAGCTACTTTCAGGCGGCATTAAAATGTATCCGATCCATCTCGATGGGCGGACGCGATGACATTTAATAATGAAAGCGTGGAGAGAATGCCGTTTGATTTTTCACGTGGCACGACCTTATCGGTCGACGACCCCGAACGAGAGATACCCCCGCGAATTTTCGCGTCCGCGTCTCGACAGAGTCGAGATTATTCTTAAGCTTCTCACGAGGGCTTAATTGTTGGCTGTTTATTTGCTGATCGGGAACCGGACGAGGCGTCGCGTTTTTCGCGGCGGGCAGAGCCCCGCCGATTGTGTTCCTTTCGAGGTGCGACGACGATCAAGTTTCCCCCGGCGCGCGGTATACCTCCCAATTTCATTCAGTCGCAGGTTCGTTCGGAATACGAAAAGAAATTTTCGTTTCTCCGGATATTGCTTTTCCGCAAAGCGAAGAAAGTCGTTCCGAGAATCGAAAGGAAAAGAAAGAATAGATATTGCGAGGACTTGCGAACTTAATAGTTTAATTTAAAATTTTAAACAATTTTTCTCACACGATACAATTAAAAAAAAGTCGATCGAGCCGGAAAATAGTATTCTAAGATCGACGCGTGCATTGCCGCTTTCCTTTTACTCGGGGAAAGTGTATTTCTTTATCGTGAAGATTGCCCGAAGATTTGATCTCGTCTTTATGGAACCTCACGAGAACCTCGGCTTCCGGAAAACATCGTCGCTCGGTCGACGCCGAACTCCGATGATTTTCGGCACCCACGAAGAAACGAGCCGCGCACGCGCGGTTCCCGACGAAGTCTGTATATTTTGTTGACTAGACCGTAGTGATAGCTATAGTGACGTTCTTTTTCTTTTTCTTTTTTCTTCGAATAATGATCATATAAGTATAAGCATTGGTTGATTTGCACGCGATGGCAATTTCGTGCGAGAATCTAAGTCTCGTTATAAGAACGGATGATATCTCTTTCGTTGAGCGTTTCGCGCAACGGTGTTACTTAACCAACGTTTATATATAAATATATAAATAGACCCACACAGAGACAGACACACACGTACACATACACTATATATATATATATAAATATACAAATTATACATACCCACACACACAACGACTCTTTGTAATATTCTGTACAGTTTATTACGTGTAACGTTATCCAACGCGCTTGTCGAAATGCTCGTCGATCGTATACACGGGCGGTTATTTATTCTTTATTTAATGTATAAAGCGATTACTTGCGATTCGACACATCTCTCTCACTGTTACATAAACACACGCGTTAATACACACCCTCGCACTCACGAGATTTTCCACGAGTCCGACGCATTATAGGGACACCCGCAAGACCGCGTGAGACTTTAATTACCGCTGATGATCCGCGAGTCAATCGTGGGAGTAATCGACACACGCTTCGATCATCGTGCGATTATTTGCGACTGCTCAATGCGTTTAGCTAAGTTAGCGATCGTCATTTTTGTAAACCGCATTGCGCTCGAATTTCGCCGACGTTACGATATACTTTGCTCGATGCGTGTCATTCAAATGGAACTATTCAATTCTATCAAAGTGCCGTTTTATTTCACACAGAGTGTTTATCCAGTAGTCGATTATTATTAGCCACATTCCGACCGTGATCGTTACTATCGTTAGCCGTACGCACTCGGATCAGTTTACACGATGCGAATAAATATATCTACGACGTGCCTAGTAAACTCGCGAACGTTCGGGGATTCAGCCGAATGTTTTGATCGATACAATCTGCATCGCGATTTGCATTCGATTCGGAAGCTTCTCCCGATAATTTCCATTTAAATGACTCTCGACTCGGATTTGTTCCTTCGCTCTATTTCGCTTCGAAATCAAACGAAACGGAAGTGTCCCTAAACACGCGCCGTTACCGTTACTTCAACTTCGCACCGGTATTAACAGGGGGGGAAAAAAGCAGCTGGGAACAAAGAGAAAATAACGGGGGGGGGGGCCTTCGTTGGCCAAGTCACTACCGAATTATTATCACTCTTCTTTCGTTCTCTCGTCTGTTAATCCACCCTTTCGGCACCTCGCATTTTTCGATGTTAGATCGGAAAGAATTGCGCGCACTTTTTTCTCCTCGTTCCTCCTTCCCTCCTCATCCTTCTAATTGTAGCGAAGTCTCAAAGTAGCGCGACTAATCGGTAATCGGACACGTAGCTACGTTTTACAATTTAATACTAACTGGTAATTCGTAAATGTCATAGGGAAATCTGTGTGTGTGTGTGTGTAGAGAAGACTCTAGGGCAATCGAGTGGCCGTACCTTAACCCTTAAGCAGTCGCGACAACTTTGCCGAGAGTATCACGTTGCGATGTTCCATTTAGTTGCAGAGCATAGCGTAGCGCATTTCACCGCGAAAAGTGAATGAAATTTGTCAGCGAAGGCATGAGCCAGAGAGAGAGAGAGAGAGAGAGAGAGAGAGAGCTGAAGTTACAGTGACGGAACCACGTCGTGACGATGAACGACTTACGATCGCGACTTTTGCCCTCTTCATTTCCAACTTACGTGTGAGAATTTGCAAAAGAAAGGGGAGAAAAAGGATGGGAAATGTGTCGGTCGATCCAGTGTAAGAAATTTTATTCGTATTAGGAGAGAACGCGGACTCCGATCGCCATCGACTACTTAAGGGTCACGAGCAGCACGAAGGTCATTCGTTCGTAACCACGCCGTTACTGGTCGAATCGAAATTGCCGAGGACTGCCAGTATATCGCTTTACGCGAATATTGTGTTCCGATCGGTCCCATTTCCACCGCGAGAACTATATTCCGGCGATGGGCAGCGGTCGGCGTTGCCGGACGATAAATCCGCGTATGACGTCGGGCTCCCAACGGTACTCGATAGTTCATAGTTGTTCGGCGAACTATTTTCGATAACTCACGAAGGCACACGCCGGACAATTATTATACGCAAAGAGACGGTTACCGCGGCCGGATGTTTTTTTCTTTCCCTCCCCCCCTCTCTCTCCTCTCTCTCTCTCTCTCTTTCTCTCTTTTTCCACCGATAACCCGTTAGCCGCGAACACGAGTTCCCGCTGTGGAGAGTTACTGGATATGTTCCGAGAAATTCGTCGGCTCGAAACGTTTACATCGACCATCCGTTAAATAAGGACACGGGATGCGCATCGCGTTCGAGTTACGCTCACTTGAAAGATGCGAAAGCGGTAAATTTCCTCCCTCGCAAACACTCATTTGCATTCAGGTTAATTTAGACACGTTTGGAAATTCTCTTTTTCCGAAAAAAAAAAAAAAAAAAAAAAAAAGTTTATTCAAACACACTAGATATCGAATATAATCTAAATGGGAATCGATAGCATCGCGCTGTTTTTTATCCGATACGCCGACATGGTTTTCTTGTTATTTCTAGAGGGAAGTCACACGCGCAATAATACCATCCTGACGAGCTTAGCCGCAGTCGGAAATTTCAACTAATCCTCTCGTCTAATTCCACCACGGTTTCTTTCATCATTCGATTCTCCCTCCCTCTCTTTTTCCCCTCTTTCTCTCTCTCTCTCTCTCTTTCTCTCCGTCCGCTACATGGATGCGCATTTCAGGATTCGCTGAGCATCGGCCGATTTTTAGCTTCGTCGAACGGGCTCGTAAGAATCGTTGGGCGATGACGAAGGACGAGACGGCGCGGTGTCTCGTCCTCGCTCGGTGAGTCGATAATTCTCGTCGGCGATGAGCCGACGACGGCACAATCGAGGGATCTTGGCGATCCTCCGTCGCGGATCGTCGGCGACGCGGGTGGGGTGCTAGGTACCGCCGGTGATATGAACAGAACAATCAAGCAAAAAAAAGCGTCACGAGTAAATGCCCTTTTAAAGTGGGATAATTACGTTTTAGGTAACGGTAGAGCGACGTTATTATCACGCCATTTATACTCGATGATCTTGTATCGTACGTAGGCGTATATTAGGCGATCTTCTTTTCCGTAAGGATTGCCGGCGTTCACCACCACGACGACGTGTGTGACTTGTCCGCGAGGCGAATTTTTCCCCCCAAAGCATCGGCAAGCGTCTCCGTAGCACGGATAACAGCCAATCACGAGACACGTGCACAGAGTACTCCGCGTTCCTCCTTTCTCGTCTCTTCGTCGCGAATTACCTGGCGTATTCCCGCGGCAGAGAGAGAGAGAGAGTTATTACGCGGGAATCGCGCGCGGCGAATAAGCGCGCAGAATCAACAGAGTACATTCCTCCCTTTCTCGAATGCAAAATCCTCGTCGCTGCGAAGACGGCGATGGTGACGGCTGCGGAAAATCGAATCGCCTCGCGGCGCCACGAAGTAGCGACGTCACCTTCCACCATTTCCCAACAAAAATGTTTATTCCATCGGGAGTACCGAATTCGAGCGGGATACGATTCCCGTTTTGGAGCGCGCGCTCCCGCTAAGTCGCTCGCGACGCGTCTCGACGTCGCCGCTCGTGGGCCCGACGAGTGAGTGGTGAAGGCCGGGAAATTGAAAATGTATGTACTGTACGTAGAGGATTTAGCGATCGCCGGCTCTCCGCCGAGTTTCGCGCCCTTTGTCAGCGAGCAAAGACGCGGCGGTGTGGCGATCGGAGGCGGTAATGCGTAAGCGCGAGAGAGAGTGCATATAAGGGAAATCGAGCGGATAGCGTGTGCGTGTAAATATAGAATGTCCTGTATATAGTTTTTAGATTTAAACGACGTCCGACGGGAAACCTCATAGGCACCTTACACACACTCGACTACCTACTTCGGATAGGTGTGGCTGAACAAGCGTCTTATATCTTTATAATATACATACACCGAACGCCCTGTCCTTCCATAATGCTCTTAGATTTATACCTACCCGATTTACACTCGATATTAATATCTAAACGCTACACTATCATCTACACACTGTAACAAATTGTATTATATTTTATATATATAAATATGTAAATGTTTTTCTAACGTGCGTGTGTTTCACTTATTCGTTCGCCCCCTCCATCCCGCGTCCCGGTGGTCGACCGACGTTTGAAAAAGTGCGAATCGTCGACGATACTTCAACGATTCCTGATCCAGCGTCCAGTCGCACGCGTTCATTGTCGCTCAATGGCGAAATATATATCATTTTATACCTAAAATCATTATCTGTATAGTTTAATTACTGAATTTTATTTTCGGGATATTCTTGCTTGTACGATTTAACTTTGGTAAAGAAAAAATACGACCGGCGTAATGATGAAGAGAGAAGCTACATGTTGATGCAAGCACGAGAAAAGGTAAGTGAAGTTTATTACGTAATTTAAATAGGCGATCCGCGGAGGGGGGAAAGAGATACGCAGCGGGGATCGCGACGCTCGCTCGGAAATTGCAGCGAGCGCAGCCGCAGAGATTTGTGTGGCCGATAATCGCGTAGACGGGCAATAACAGTGGAGTTCCCTCTAATATTTTTATCTAGCACACCTGTGTGCTCTCCGCGTTCTACTTCGAGTCACTAATTTCCGGGCGGTGAAGTTCCCGCTCTTCTGTCATCATCAATTTCCGTCGTCCGCCGACCGACCGACCGTATTTCGAGCGTAAGAGCGTCGACGGGAGGACACGCTAACGATACTTTCGACGTTTTCCTTATCGCTCGTCCCGACAACGGCGTTCCCCGATGCAAAAGATCGCTCTCTCGTCCCTTAAGACAGAATCTATTAATTGTCAATATCAGGCCGCACACGCAGATTCACGCAAAACTGCCGACGGCGAAGTATCGATCCTCGTTAGCGTCGAGCGCGCGCCCCCGTGGTAAGCATCCGTCGCCGTCGCAATCTCCGCGGCCTCGTTCGGCGGAAACACGCCACGTGGACATACACGCGAGCGATAAAATTACCATGTCCAACAAATCACCCCGACGGAGCGCGCGCTATCGAGTGTGCGACGCAACTAATTATACGCGCGTATATTACTTGCGGGCGAGCCCGGACGGCAGTTCGGCTGCCGCTGGCAGTTTCAATTGCCGTCCGACGAGCTCGCCCGTCGGATTAGAGCGTGGATTTACCCAAGGCGTCCGGGAGAGCTCCGATCCATTAATGAACAAGTTCCCGGCAAGTTCGCTAATACTGGCGCGCGCTGCTAACGGCCGCCACTTAATCAAACTTGGACGCGCCGCCGTTGCGCCGATAAACGCGCCCGTCGAGATTTTTCGCGAGTCGCCGCATTCCGCCGACGCGATATCGAGCATGCGGGATTTCGCAACGTCGCGTCGGCTTTCTGAATACAAGCGCATTCAGCGTAAAATTTCATGATAATTGAGGCGGTAATCGAAGCGATATTAATATATTACGTCGAATATTGCGCTAATATAATAGATCGGCGCTTTGTTAAGGGGATGCCGAGTGGCCTTTTCATCGGAATTTTTCGAGCACGCTATAGTCGTTCCCGGTTACATAGAATCAGAAATTCTTTTGCACGATGATACTACATACGTTAATGTAGCCCGCGCTGATCGGCTTTATATATCGAAAACGAAAAAGGTTTGAAAAGTGTATTACTTTTTGATAGTTCTTGTTTCAATATGACGTCGAGAGCTGTCAAAGATAATATCTGCTTCGTACAAAAGTTCGGCGGGTTATACGAACAGAGGAAAACCAGGATAAGGTGTAAACTGCGCTGTAAAATATTACTTAACTGTTAGAATTAAATTTGTAAGTTTAGTTTTAAAAAATAATATGCCTGAAAATCAGATGTCAGTATGTGCGAAATTACCAATGTACACTAAAAAAGAGACTTGAAAATTTATTTCTGAAATATAAGATTCATTCCACAGAAATAAACGTTTACTTAAAAATACGGCGTAATAAAATTGTATTCCTAGCGAATAAATCGATTTATTCCTAGCAAACAGATCGAACATTTCTGGGACGTCTCTCCGATATTTTTTGAACATTTGCGCTATATGCGTACGTGTCACATGTCTAATGGCATCATAATAGAATGTTATCAGTGATTTTATTCCTGTCAGCAATCACTTCAGCATCCTTTTAATAGAATAATGTGTAGTAATATATAGAATATTCCAGAATAACCTCATGCGGAATACACATGAAGATTTTTGGCGCCAAACGAGGTCATTTTTCACTTATCAAAAAATAGTTTTTAAATAGTTTCTAAATAAGAACTATTTACAGTTGTCAAATTAGTGTATTAAGTTGCGCATGACTCTGAAGCGGAATCATGAAGTATCGCAGGAATCATACAATTTTTCTTCTACCTCACTAAATAGTTTAATACGCAACCGTGTGTATCTGAATTTACCGCTTTTTCCGAATTTTGAATAAAACTTATTTATATAAATAATTTGTATAAATGATATTCCATCGGCTTTTCTCGAAGCCACAGATATTTTTAAGAAGTTGAAACAACGATTTGTATAAAAAATGATTTGTGTGCCGCTTTAATATATTACTTTATTATTTGTAGGTGTTTTTTCAGTAGTATCAGTAAAAAATTTTTTCCTATCGAATAGTACTATCTGGATTTACCGCTGTTTTGAATGAAACTTATTCGATACGTAAAACATTGACACAGGGACGGAGTGCGGAAATGTGAAACGCATTCGAGATGAAACCCGGTGATTATAATGAGCGGAAGAAAAGATAAAACGAAGAAGAACGATCGCGAGTTTCGTTTTACGAATTCAAACGGCGGTGTGCGTGTATGAAGGGTGGGAAGAAGGGGAGGTCCTCTTAAAACTTCGACCGCCGCCTGCAATTGGCGAGATAGGAAACGCCGAGAGCACGATGGAGTTATTATACGTTCGATACTCGTCGCGGGTACGCGCTCCGGAGAACTCGGGGACTGTTTCAGACGGTGATATCGCAGCTGCGCTTTGTTATCCCGCCTAGGAACGACGCAATAACGAGGCCGCGTTTCCCGAATGAATCGATGTCCCAGGTGACACTCTCCTCGGGCGCTCTCGCGCCGCCGCGAGAGTTTATGTAAAATGCGCCATTATTACTTTCCTCGGGAGTTAATTAAATCCCGTTGATAAAAGCTACGGGCGATTTGAATTTACGCTCGCCGATTGAAAACGACGACGATGACGACGACGACAACAACAGGAGCGCGGGAGCGAGCCGCCGAGATCTTCCCTCCCGTTGATTGTTTTCCCGGGTCGCGATGTGTATTTGGTAACGAGGCATCGTGGAAATGAACGGGGGAAAGAAATGATTAAAATGTCAGAGAATTGTACAGGTATTTGAAAAGGAATCAAGTCAAACTACAACAAATCACTTTATTATTAAAAGCCTCTAATGAGTTGGACACCGAAACGTTGTTTGTTATTAGCTTAGAAAAATTAGGAAATCGTAGTGTTACTTATTTCATCAATTCGCTCTCCTTCCCCTTACTAGCTAGAAGAAATATTAAAATATGAAGAAAATGTTTGATATATTGTTTTAAATACACGACCGCGAGTAATCGTCGATTAACATCTATTTTAAAATTTGTTTATATTGAATCGATTAAAAAATTGGGTGTGATTTTTGTGTGAAATTTTGTGACTTTACTGCGTTGAATCGAAATAAATTTTCTATTATCTAAGTAACCACCGTCATTGATTATTATTCTTTATTTACGTTCCGACTGCATTTTTACCGCAAAAGGTGGCCGGTTCACCACCGGAGAAGGCGGAAAATTAAATTGAACTTTGTGAATGAGTCCATGTATCCTATCAAAATCAAAGTGATGCAACAATCAATGAGAGCTAGACGCTGCGTCGAGATGCGTTAAATAAGTTATATATAAAATAACGATTGGTGTTTTTACGATAACAAATGTTTCGGTCCAGTTTCGGATTATTCTCAATATTGAAAACAATGGTCCGAAACTGAACCGAACCGGTCTGTAAACACACAAAGGGAAGAAACCTATGATTATTTGATCAGTATAACTTATTTAGCTCACCCAGCGTCTAGCTCTCATTGATCGTTGCAACACTTTAATTTTCACTGGATATACAGGCTCATTCACAAAGTTCGGATGATCGTTGTATCAATTTGATTCTGATTTCGAATCCAAGAGCCTTTTAGTCCATTATTCCGCGTATCCTATCTCAAAATACAGCGTGTTCACTTGGCACACGTGCGCCATTCCCTATAATTGCGAGCGACGCGAAGTTTACCCTCGTACTTTCGTATCCTTTATAGCTTCATCGTCATGGGACCGTCGTCGTTCCATTGAAATAACGGACTAACCCACTTTGCATGGCGAGGCGGCCGAGATTGCATAAGTTATGCGAGTTATCGCGCGTATCCATAAGGGGCGATATGTCCCTCGAACGCGAAAGGTCGCGGGTCTCGAATGCGCCGCTCGCATGTAAATCTGCTCCTCTCCCAGTCGTCCTTCCGACCGAACCGTGTCCGACTTTTAGCTGATAAAGTGCCCGTCGCTGATCTACCGCCACCGATTCCACGTTCCTACGACGTTTCTACGGTAGAACTTCGATCTCTCGAAGAACTTTTCGCCGCACGACCGACTCTCGCGAATTTATAGCCTCAGGACAAATTTGTCTTCCTGTAATGAGTGTCCGATCAATTCGATCGTCCTCCTTTGAGGCCACTCTATTATTGACGCTATCTCCAAGAAAACGACGGAGAAACGGACCAATCGAGTCATCTCGATTGTTCGGTACGATCCATAGTACCAAGGCCGTGTCCTTTTGTTCTATCTCGCTCTTACACAATATTCAAAGAAGAGGAACAGAATGATTCTTCTCGGCGCGATATCGGTTTAAGGTCCGTTTCAATCGAGAAACGACTTTTTCCTACGAGCGAGAAAGTGAAAAGTAAAAATTTGAACGGGAACTCATCGAGATCACGATCGCGTAACTTCTGACGGCGCGAAACGGCGAGATTTCATTGGGTATGATTCACGTGT